TGTAAAACATGCCAGGCACGTGTGCGTGAGTGCCCAAAATCCTGAGAGGAGAATGGAGAAGGGATTGCAGCGTAGCCACTCCTCCTGGGGGGCGCTCATGTGCTCTATAGCAAATTAAAAACAAAAAAATAACCAAGCAAAAGTCTGGGGCCAGCATGGGCATGGTGGTTAAGGTGCTGGAACCCACAAGGATGACTGTGGTTTGAGTCCCAGACCTGGCAGCCTGAAAAACATGCTGGGCTCATGTGCATGCGTGCCCCAAATCCCAAGAGTGAAAGGGAGCCATCCTCCCTGGGAGGTGAGTTCTCCCTTTCTGTCTGTCTCTCTTTATCTCTCACCAGCAAGTGCATGTGCCCTAGGGCAAAAAAAAAAAAAAAATCTAAAATCAAACAAACAAAAACCCCCAAATCCTCCCCACCTTCCTTCTCTAACGTCACAGGGTATTTCCATACTTGCAGCATTTGGCCTTAGCTATGAGACATTTTCCTTAATATAATTTTAGTTTATTTTGCGATTTTCTAAAGAGATTCTTCTGCTGGCCTTTTGCCATTGGTCACTCTGTCCTCGCCGTTCCTGTGTGTCATTATTCCTTGCTTTCTTCTACAATATCTTGTGCTCACTCCTTGAAATCCCATCCCCAAGCCTTTTTTTTTTTTTGGAGAGGTTTTCGCTATAGGGCGCCTGCGCTCGCCAGACAGACAGAGAGAGACAGAGAGACAGAAAGCAAGAAATCACCCCCCAGGGGGGATGGTCACGCCGCAATCCCTTCTCCTCCATTCTCCTCTCGGGATCTTGGGCATGCACGCACACGCGCCCGGCGTGAGATTCAAGCCACCGGGTCCGAGACGCGAACCGCGGTCGACTACGTGGGAGTCCAGCGACATAGCCATTACGCTAACTGCTGGTTCCCGCTGCTGCCTTTTTGAGGCCAACCTGGACAAGTCTTTTCCCGTAGCGCTCAGCTGCAGTGGCTTTCGTGCCATCAGCCGCGGGGCGTGAGCGTGCTTTAGACGGGCCCTTACACCACCCTTCAAGGGTTCTTAAGGCAGGACCCGTCCTGTAACTAGCCCTGCCCAGAATGCAATATACTCACCTGATACTCATTAAATTCAACCGGAAGTTCCAATTCGGAAAGAAAGGACAGATAACACCAAGCATGACAAAAGTAAATAAAGTGGAGATAATTTTTCTGTAAGCAATGCCTCCTAGGTTGGCCACAGGGGTATAGACCTTGAAATTAAAGGCGTGGCCCGACCCCCCTTGCTCAGAGAACTCCTTTCTTCCAAATAAATGTGAGCTATAAAAGATATGACTACCACCTCCCATCACCTGCAATGAGGAAATTCTGAATAACCTTTTCCTGGGGACCCGCTGAGTCACAGGGTCACACCTGACTCAGTGGGTGTGATGGGTGACAAATATCCTTTGGCCCCAGCACCCGGCATCAGCTCTTTATATCAGTGATGCAAGTCCCCATAGGGAGAGTTCCTGACA